TGATGAGTGATGTGTAAGTGCATGCCCGGGATCCGAACCGGCGAACCCTGGGCTGCCCAAGTGGAGTGCGCAAACTTAACCACTACCCCACCGGCCCAGCCCCTACATACAGTTTTTGTAGAACACTGACAACGTTTAAAATCATAATGTTCAATAAGACTATTAGAAGATTTCTGGGAAAATAATTCTGCTTTCCAAATTAGTGAAAGATATGTGGTCCACACTTTGAAAATCACTAAGTTAGAGGACCACAAGGCACTACTGCTATCGTGGCTAAATGGTTGGCTGCAAGTGTTAGATGTCTTCAGAATGGTGTTCTGTGTTGTTTTACAATAACGCTGTTCTCATGATGCCTTTGAGAAATGAAGGTTAACTCTTCATTTGGAATTTGTTTTGCTTGGATTTAAAATGAGTAAATTTTAAATCTAGTTCCAAAATTTTTACTGTCTTTCCTATTTTTCATTGGTTCTTCATACTCTTTAACTGATCATAAACGCTTGAGCTATAGGTTTGTTTAAATAGAAAAAAAATGTTTTACTACTAGATGGGGAGTAGGAGGCAATGAAGGAAGCCAAGAGGAAGGGGATCTGAAGTACTCCATCTTGGGCACATGTAAGTATCTTCTTCAATCGTCTAGGCATTTTAGTGCCTACTGTTTCCTCTTTTTCTTCTTTTCCTCCTTCTCCCATAAGTACAAAGACAATGATGAGGAAATCTCAGTTTGCAAACTTAAATATAAGGTACTTTTTAAAAATCATAGTTTTTATTTGCATTTTCTTGCCTGGTGCCTGTCTTTTAGGCCCAGCCTTTTTTTTTTTTCCCCGTTCTACCTATACATATACTGAATAATTAGATTGACAGCTGTAATTACAGCAGTCTTAGGATTAATTAATTCTCTAATTAAGGTATGTTTAAAGAATTTGGAAATCTTTCCACGTTTTCTTTCTCTTTCCTGATGTTTTAGTTTTGTGCTACCCTTCTCCTTGTTATCTAGGGTCAAAAATCTTATCTTTGATTAATTCTTCTTTCATACCTCATATTCAGTGTTCCAAAACTTGGTCAGTCTTTTCTAAGATCTAGCCTTTTTTATGTTCTGCACCGCTATGTTCTCGTCCAGGTTCCTATATGCTGAGATTACAGTGGGTTAGCCAGACACATTGATTCTAAGTTCTCGTTCTTGTAATAGTCCAGTTTATTTCTTTAATATTACTTTTATTAGCGTTCCTCTTTCATCTGCCCTGAATCCCTAATTTTTAGGGAGTGTCTGGAACCTAATTCTACCCTACCTGAGCAATCTTATTTTCTATTATTCTCCAACATAGAGGAGGGGGATTCTAATTTACTGTGTGTAACTCTTATGCCAGGCAAGCACTGTCTTAGGTATTTTATGTATAGTATAGCTTTAAATCCTCAAAACTACCCTGCAAGGTTGATATTTCTATTCCTTTTTATATATGAAGAAACTGAGATTCACAGATGTTACATAACTTGCCCGGGGTCACAGCCAGCAGGGGTGGAATAAGAATTTAAATTATCGACCTGTGTGATTTCCCAAAGCCTGTATTTTTTCCACATCTTTCTTGTATTGTATAGAATTCATCCTTTACTAGGTATCCCTTTCCTTGGTATCCCATAATATACCTATTCGTACTATTATACCTTTGTTCACGTGACTCTTTCCTCCTGAAATTCTTCTATTCCTTTTTCTACCTATCCAAATTATATCGATCCTTTAAGGACCAACTTAAATTAGTTTCTTTTCTGTATGCTTCTCTGAATTCTATTTGTTGTTTATCTTTTTTCCCCTCAACTTTTGTAGCACTTTTAATGTCTTATTCTATTTCCCTTACTTTATATGTCTTAGTCTCTGTCCCAAAAGGAGTAGTAATTCTTTGAGGACAAAAGTCGTATTTATGCTGCTTCTTTAAAGCTCTACAGGCAAAGCACATAGAAGGTTCTCTATAAATTCTTATTGGCTGATTGATCATACAGTGACATTTTTGGAAGATTTGTTCTAGTTTTCAGAGATTTAAATTTAAATTTAAATTATTTTTACCTACTTATATTTCCTTGTATACTAGTTTGTGTTAATAATTAAAAGGTAAATTTAAGCTCTAAACTGCTAAATTTAGAATCAAATCTGGGGAGAGCTATATTTTTCACTTTAAAAGTTCCATTTCATTCAGTTTTTATCATGCTATTAGAATCAGCTACTTTAATATTTAAGTTCTATGAGTTAATGTGAGAAAGAATAATGACATCTTGCAAGGCTCCCAACTTCCTAACCTGTTCTCCTGCCCACTAACTTATTTTTGGAATATCAGTCAGAATATGTGACATATTGGAAATAATCTTAAATGCTCTCTCCATAAATGTTAAATATCATTAATGTGAATTAAAAGCTTAGTGGTAAATTGAACCAGCTTTGTTCAGAGTAAACTTAAGTAGTTTTGTTACTTTTTCTATGTTGGGATGACTACTATGCTTTAATTATCGTGAAATATTTTGTGCTCAGTTTGCGAGTTTAGGTGGAAAAGTCGAAGTAAACTTCCTTTTTTGTGTAACACTTAGACAAATCCAATTACATTTTTCTAATTTCCAAGGTATCCCTTTGAAACAGATTACTCCTTTTTGGAGTTGGTTTCTGGTTTAGTTTAGTTTTTTTTTTTATTATTGTTAAGCAACAGAAACAATTCTTTTTTTTTTTTTTTTTAATAATTTTATTTATTTATTTATTTATTTCCCCCAAAGCCCCAGTAGAGAGCTGTATGTCATAGATGCACATCCTTCTAGTTGCTGTACGTGGGACGCGGCCTCAGCATGGCCGGAGAAGTGGTGCGTCGGGGCGCGCCCGGAATCCGAACCCGGGCCGCCTGCAGCGGAGCACGCGCACTTAACCGCTAAGCCATATCGCCGGCCCAGCAACAGAAACAATTCTGATGAACTTTGGCAAAAAACAATTTGTTCAAAGGATACTGAGTGATTCACAGATTTGAATTAAGAACTAAGCAACTAGGCCTTGGGAAAGATGGAAACTAAGGAATTCTGGAGTGCTCAAAGGCATGAACTAGTGGAACTAGTACACTCACTTTTAGAGGGCTATCATCAGATGATTGAACCCCACTTGCTTTGTGTTTGTTCTCAAAATTTAATTCTGAGGAGAGCAAAAAAGAGTTGGATCTCTTGCCCCCACCCTGTTGTTAGTGATTGTAGCCTGGATGTTTGTGTGGGTACAATGGTGGTTGGTATACATGATTATGTGATTGGCTGTCCTGCCAGAATCATAGGACATTGGAATGAAGAGTAGTTATTCAAAGGAATAAAGGAAGGGATTCTGGACAGACAAAAACAAGAGATGTCCACTAAATTTATGATTTCATTATCCAGTATGCGTAGGTCAACACATACTGGTACACAAATCCAGGATGTTTACTCCTATCGTGTTGCAACTATCCTGTATTCAGCTGCAGACATATCTTATCCCTAATGGTGGACAGCCTAAAGTCCCTTCTAACTACTGTAGCAATTCTGTTTAGCATTTGAAAGTAATTCTTGGAGAGTAATTCGATTGGAGGGTGGTGGAAGCTAGATTGTAAGAAGTTAAGGTGAGATTTAGTGGTGAGAAAGAGGAACCAAAAGATATAGATCACAAAGAATCATTTTATTATGGTATTAGATAACTTTAAAGGTAGGACAACCATATAAAAGGAATAAAATGATAAGAGTAAAATGATGCACTATAATTATTCTCTAACGTCAAGCATATACCAGGACATTTGGTCACCTTATTTAATGGTTCTATAACTGTGGATTAGTCTATATTAAGGAAATGGTATGTTTTATAATGCTTGTTGAGTTATTTTTCAGTATTCTTATATTTTTGAGTAATAATCACTATTAAATTTTCTGTGTCCTAAATTGGATACCATCTTTGACATCTATTACAGTGTCAATTTCTTTGTAAGATTTTTTTATTAAAGTAAAAAGACTATATAATATACAACAGATAATGGTCAATGAAAGGGAAACTAGAAATCTCAAACTTGGAAGTTTTTGCTTTAGTATTATCTATAAAATACAGAATACCCTGCTTTGGCATGGATAGATAACTTTGGAGAACCCAGATTGTTCAAACATGCGCCGCATAACGTTTCAGTTAATGATGGACTGCGTATACAACAGTGGTCCCATAAGATTAGTACCATGTGGTCTAGGTGTCTAGTAGACTCTACTGTTTAGGTTTGTGTAAGTACTGTACGGGAGGAAGAAATTTTCCTCTACCCTTCTGTCTTCCTCTGGCTGGTCTAGGAATTAAATTGACATGAGACAGATTAACAAGAGAAAAACAAAAGTTTAATAACATGTATATACAGGAGAAACCCAGGAAAACTGAGTAGCCTGCCAAAATGACCTAAGCCCTCACTTTAAGTACCATCCTCAGCTAAAAACAAAAGAAGATATTGGGAGTGGGGAGAGTTAGAGACTTCAAAGGGAAGGAAGACAATTCATAGGTAGGTGAAAAGGAGCAAACATTTGGAAAACGACTGTTTGGCCACATAGTAACAGAAGAACACAGAGGAGAGCCTTGCAAACCCGCTTTTCTAGGTTCCTCCCTGTCTACCACCTAGTTCACGTTATGCTAAGGTGATAGTTCACTTCCTGCGACAGGTTTTTTTAATCTGAATTCTTTTAAGCAGTTAAGGGGGAGGTAACAAGAAAAACCTTCTGAGTCTTTTGTTTCTTAAAAATAATCAGCCTAAAATAATCCTCATGTTAAAGAGGCACATTTTGGGGTGGCAGATTTTGTTCCCTTTCAGTACACTCTATGATGTTTGCACAACACAAAATAGCCTAATGATGCATTTCTCAGAATGTAGCCCCATCTTTAAGCAACGCATGACTGTGTTTGTTTCCTTCTCTTGTATATATTGTCATGGCTGTTTTGCTAGTGTGGTATGATGCTATCATCTGTTTATTGTGAAACTTTTTTCTTTTTTTAGCTGACATCTGAAATGTTTGAAGCAGATCTTGAGAAGGCATTGTTGCTAAGTAAATTAGAATATGAAGAACATAAAAAGGTATTTACACATTTATTAATTTAGATATTTTAGGTTTAAGTGGTCACAGGTTAAGACCAACCTATATGAATTTTGTATAAAAGTTCTTTAAAGTTTGTTCTAAAAATTCATCGTTGTAAAAAAATATTATTACAAGCTTTTTATAAGAAGATTCCTCCTCAAGCTTTGAGAGACAACAGAAACATGTGGATTAAGCTTTGTCTGGTGATTTGGAATGTTTAGTTAATAAATTTCTCCACCCGAGATGAAGGGCAGAGAGAAAATGAAATCAATAGCAGATGATTTACTTTAACTTATTTTAAATGAACATATTTTTTATGTAAGTAGATTTAAAAATTTAAGTAAGTATTAGTACAGAGGCATCCATTAAGAGACCCTCTGCTGGAGATACACTATAATTAACTAAAATAAATGAGAGGACAGTTCTGATCATTTGGCCTTGTGAGCTCAGTATTTGTCACTAAGCTGTGAACTCAGCATTTGTCACTAAGCTCTGATATTGGGCTGTGTCCTGAAATGCTTTCTACAGCTTGTTAACTGTAGGAACATTAAGTAAAAAGTGGTGTTGGTTTCCAGTTTCTATATTTAAATTGAGCATTTATATTCATATTATTTAACATCTTAGTCCTTTACATGTATTGGGAGTTTTTTTTGGTCCATAAAAGTTATTCAACTTGTAATTACTCAGTGGTTGATCATAAATGGCCTCTGGTCATGCTTAAGGGCCTTTAGACTATGTCACTAGCTCCTTCACTCAAGATGAAGAGAAGAGAGGAATTAAACTTCACAACAGATGATTTTGCTATTTATTTATAGTTCAAGGGAAGAGGATGAAAGTTGTCAGTAAAATGGACTTTGTACACTATATGTGTTAGTTTCATTTTTCATATCCCTATTCCTGTTATCTTGATTAATCAAGAATAACTATAATCCTTATTGTTACTTGTCTATTTAGACACAAAGTTGGCAATTACAAAAATGGATACAGCTAGCTTTACTGTCATTTAATCATTTAAATGGAATTTCAGTTTACAGTGGAAAAGTCCTCCTGACTTGCTCAATTTGGAGATAAAATTTATCAAATAGAATATCATACAATAATGATTTGTTGTTGTCAGATATATGTCTAGATTCTAAAGCTAAAAGGATTGGCTGTATCTACAGAGGAGGAGTAGAGTAGATGATGTTGATAAAATATCATGTTTCCAGCCAGTTTTCTTGGCACAGTCATAGGCCTAGTACTCAAAAGCATTGGTTTTATCAGATGAAATGACTCTCAGAGAATGGAGGAACTCCTTTTTTATGCAATGGCTAGTTTGATGTGATTACATTGATGTAGCCATTGAGTTATAAGTCAATATTCCAACAAAATAACTATAATTATTCTAGCCTAAGGATTTTTATAATAACTAAAGTTTGGGATAGCATTTTCTATTCTGTTCTATCACTCATTCACCAAATATTTTTTTTAATAGCCAAAATGTGCTAGGCATACAATACAAAGGTAAAGATATGGTCTCAGCCCTTGAGTTTAGTGGAGGGAGACATACATATAATTATAGCATATAGTATTGAAAGATGTACATTGTCAGTGCAGTGGGAATTCAGAAAGTTAGAAGAATTTTCTGTGCCTTTGATCGGGATGGGTCTTAGGAAAAGATTCTTAAAGAGGAGTTTTACTAGAAGTATTAGAAGTTCACAGGGTAGGCAAGAGAAAGTAGGCATTCTCAGGGAAGAAGTGGCAAGTATACAAGATAATGTATATGTGAAAGAGTATAGCATATTTAAAAACTATAATTTAGGGACTTAGAGTTGCTGGAGATATTGCCAGAAGGATAGGATATAAAGAACCTCATGTACCAGGCTAAGGAGATTGGGTGTTATACATCTGTGTGTTAGCAGAGAGCTATTGAATATTTTTACCTTTTAGATTGATTTCGGGTTTTCATTTTGGAAACTCATGCTGTAGCACTGTGGAAGATAGATTGAGGGCTAAAATTAGAGGGTGTTGCAGTGTCAAGCAAAAGAAGATAGGAAAAATGACAGAAGGTGTGAAGAAAAGAGAATAGATTTAAGAGATGTTTAGGAGATAAACTCAGCAGGACCTAGTGACTAATTTGGATATAAAGTGTGTAGGAAGAGTAGGGAAGAATGCCTCTGGAATGACATTTCTACCCTAGACAGTTGTGTAGATGATAGTGGCATTAAACAAGGTACCTAGTGGAGGATCAAGTAGGGAAAACAGGGTGAACATATTTAGTCTGGAGATGTTTATTAACATTCCAGTTGAGTAGTCTACATACAGAAATCGTCAGTGCATAGGTGGAACTTTAAACTTAGAGTTTGAGGAACAGTGGGCATAAAGCATAAGAAGAACGGGTTAAGAATGGAATAATGGTGAACAGCAGCTACATTTTTAAGAACAGGGTTGGGAAAAGAGAAGCCAGTGAAGGAGACTTACGAGTAATCAGAAGTATATTGGAAAAACCAAGAGATGCTGGAAAAACTAATACCTTTTTTGGATTTGGCATTGAAGAGGAAGTTGACCTTAATTTTAGTGTTGGAGAACAGCAGAAGCCAGATTTCAGGGGAGTGAGAAAGGAAATTGACTGTAGATTATTCTCTTAAGTTTGGTCTAAAATGGAGAAGAAGAAGAAGAAAGTGGCAGCTAGGAGGGGTTATAGATCAAGGTATAGCTTTTTGTTTTTATTTTAATGTTTAAGAGGCAAGAGATTGAGTATATAAATTAAAATGTATCCTTTTATACAATTTGGCTAGCGTAAGTTTTTATTTTTTGCCTTTTACCTTAAAAAAACACTTTAAGAAACATATTGGTGAGTTGATTTTATTAGTGTAAACCAAGCTTAATTATTGTTGGTAATTCTTTTTAGGAGTATGAAAATGCTGAAAATGCTTCAACTCAGTCAAAGGTGATGAATAAAAAAGATAAAAGAAAGAATCTTCAGGGAAAAGACAGACCACTCACAGTATCGCTAAAAGATTTTCAATCTGAAGGTAATACATGTACGAAATCTGTTATGCTAGGAAAACTATCCTAAGTCTTTGTATACTTAAGTTGTAAGTACCTTTCTAATCTAATTTTTTAAATAAGTAAAAATGGTGTTATTAATGTGTTATTTAGAATATAAAATGTAAACCTATTGGGAAATAAACCATTTGGAGGTTAAAGTAATTTAAAATTAGTCATTAAAACTAGATTTATCTTTTTGTATTTCTGAATTTGTCCCTTTTTTAAAACTCACTGAAAATAAAAATTGACATTTGTAGTTTTTGAGTCATCTTGAAACATATTATTGTCCTTATACATAAAATGATTTGGCTTATACTAGACCAGGAATAGCATCTTCAGAGTTCATCTGGTCAACCTCTTCAAGTTATCTGGAACTATATCTCAGCAAATTAACCTACAGATTTTTAGAATGAGACTTATTACCAGAAAACTCTTTATAATATCATTTGTGTTTTTGTCATCAAACAGAAAAGACAGAAGAAAATTATACCATCCACCAAATTTTTGAAGACAGACCACAAAGCATATTATTTTTGATAAGGGAAGTGGTGAAAACCCTAAATCTGTACTGTGTAATATATTAGCCACTATTCATGTGTGGCAGCTTAAATGTAAATTAATTAAACTTAAACTAAAATAAAAAAAATTTCTTAGTTGCATTAGCCACATTTCAAGTGCTCAGTAGCCACTTGTGACTGATAGCTTCCGTATTAGCACAGGTCTAGAACATTATTACCGTCATCACAGAAAATTGTATTGAACAGCACTGTTCTTATACCAGTCAGAATAGTTGCTGACCAGGTGAACAGCTGTTTGTTCATTTACAGAGCAGTCTATTTGATTAATATGAATTTAGCCTCGACAACACAGTGGGCATTTGTTCTTTAAGGATTAATAATACCATAGCAGTAATCTCAAAAAAAAAAAAAAGCCTAAATACTTTACAGTTTTCAGAAACAAGCCTATTTGTGAAATTAGGAATAAATTTAGAGGATTATATTGCTTTCCTTTAAGGATCAGGAAGGTTTTTCCTGTAGTCTGCCTTTCTGATTAAGTTGCTTTGTTTTGGGGTTAAAAAAATAGATGTATGTTAAAATAAAATTTCCAGTTTTAGTAAGAAAGATTTTATATAAGAAATATATTTCATTAAAAACTAGGCAGAGGGGCCAGCCTGGTGGCGCAAGTGGTTAAGTGTGCGCGCTCCGCTGCGGTGGCCCGGGGTTCGCCGGTTCGGATCCTGGGCATGCACCGACGCACTGTTTGGCAAGCCATGCTGTGGTGGTGTCCCATATAAAGTAGAGGAAGATGGGCACGGATGTTAGCCCAGGGTCAGTCTTCCTCTAAAAGAGGAGGATTGGCAGATGTTAGCACAGGGCTGATCTCCTCACACACACACAAAAAAAACTAGGCAGAAACATGAAAAGAATGCTTTTTAAAACTCCTTAATTTATTTTCCATATGTTTGATTTACTAAGTACTATGTAAATTTATTAGATGGATTGAGAAAGACATCAATGTGTGATACTGTTAAAGGGAAGCTACACAAGTGTTAAAAGACATGATTAACACAGTCATGATTCTTCCTCGGGTTCTGGCATCACATTGTATGCTAAGTAGAACATGCTAGAAGAATGACTATGTAACCTGCCAGGATTTGGTAGTTTGATCTGAAACTTGTGATTTTCACATTTATTGTGTTTATGGACTCTATACTGATCAACGGATACTTTACAGAACTGGACTAGCTTTTAGATCCTCAATCGTAAGAAAGCTGTTCTATTAAGTTATTTTGAGTCTTTGGGAATGGAAAATTTACGCTGTGCACAAACAGCATTGTTAAATGTTAGATATCCTCATCATCTCCAATTTAAAGAAGAATGCTTGCTCCCTATTTGTACTTTAGTTTCAACCTTATATCTGTGTGGATTCCCTTATATCTTCTTTTTCCTCATTCTGTAATCCCTTTTCAGAAATGTTGTTACTAAGTACATGATTTGTTTAATTTAGATAAATATGTTACACCGTCTTTTTTGTATTCATTCTAGAAATCAATTTTTAGGATTTTTTTCATGGTAGTATCAAATCACTATAAAGGTATATTTTTAAAATAAAAAAACTAGGGGCTGTCCTGATGGCATAGTGGTTAAGTTCACACACTCTGCTTTGGCGGCTCAGGGTTCGCAGGTTTGAATCCCAGGCACGGATGGACCTACACACCACTCATCAAGCCATGCTGCAGTGGCATCCCACATACAAAATAGAAGAAGATGGGCACAGATGTTAGCTTAAGGGCTAACCTTCCTCAGCAAAAAAAAGAGGAAGATTGGCAACGGATTTTAGCTCAGGGCCAATCTTCCTCACCAAACAAAATAAAATACAATAAAACTAGCTAATAGTTTTAAAGGACACAAATTACTACTCTACTTTTTATTTTATTCCACAAAGGCAGTGATCTGTACAGTTTTGTTTTGTTTTTGGTGAAGAAGAGTCTCTCTGAGCTAACATCTGTTGCCAATCTTCCTCTTTTTTTGCTTGAGGAAGATTAGCCCCGAGCTAACATCTGTGCCAGTCCTCCTCTATTTTGTACATGGGTTGCTGCCACAGCATGGCTCAGTGAGTGCTGTTGTGTAGGCCCATGCCCGAGATCTGAACCTGTGAACCTGGACTGCCGAAGCAGAGCATGCCAAACTTAACCACTACGCCACGGGGCCGGCCCCTATACAGTTTTTGCAGTTATCATACCCTGTCGTTTGATTTTAGACACATTTGTCCCTCTCAAGGTCCCCCCGCCAAAAATTATGTGAAACCAAAACCCTAAATTATATAGAATTCAAATGTCTAAAATTTAATAATACTCCTTGGTACGTGTGGCATTTACTGGGATATAAGACCTAGTCCCTAAGTCTAGCAAATTGGTAATTACATACTGAATTTTAACGTCTTATCCCTAGAAAAGTACATCTGATGAGTCGTAGACAACCCCCAAATGACTTCTATGACTCTTATTATAATTTTGAAATTCTTTGCAGTTACTTTGTTTAAATATTTTTATACATATTAAAATACTTTAATGTTGGGCTGGCCCTGTGGCTTAGTGGTTAAGTGTGCGCACTCTGCTGCTGGCGGCCTGGGTTCAGATCCCGAGCGCGCACCCACACACCGCTTCTCCGGCCGTGCTGAGGCCACGTCCCACATACAGCAACTGGAAGGATGTGCAGCTATGACATACAACTGTCTACTGGGGCTTTGGGGGGAAAAATAGGTAAATAAAATTTAAAAAAAATAAATAAAATACTTTAATGTTAATTTCTTCAATGATGTCTTATCATTTTTTTTTCCATTTACAGATCACATTAGTAAAAAGACTGAGGTGAGTGTTATTGTAGCTATCTTTATTCTAGAAAACATGGTGATTTTAAGAATAATACTTTAATGTTTAGCAGTAAATTCTTTTTGAGACATAGCCATTTAAAGCCATAGGTTTGTCATGAGTGAACTCAGTCATGTTTCTGGCAATTATAAGGATATAAAATATATTACAGTAGAATAAAAATATAGTTATTTGCATGAAGTATAATATCATTTGGCTTTGGCATCCTAATTTGTGTGTGTGTTTGTGAGCGAAAAAGTTACCACATGTAAGCGTAAAATTTTAGGGAAAAGTGGTATAACACTCAAAGTCTATATTTTAGTCTTTAAAAGATCCTGAAACCATGTCTCAAGATATTTTGAAATTAAGGAAACTGTGAGGTAAGCTGTGATTCTATAGTTTACACCCATGGTAAGACTACCCTGATCACATACTTCTCTTACCATTCACCATTAGAGGGTGGTGCAGCCTACATGTTGCTTCCTAGTGTTATTAGTTACTTTTTTTTTTTTTTTAAGACTGCAGTACAGCCTCTACAAACCTTTTAAAATTGGAAGATGATACTACTATAAAATATCTTCTAACATTGGAGAAGATACTAATAAAATGTTAGAGTTCTTTTGACTTCTTTAGGTAATAATTTGAAAGTTTCATTATTCTACTATTATATATTCTTGTTAGTAATCCATTGATTGATTTTTTATGGTCAGATGTTCCTTGATTTCACTTTAGAATACATGTTGTCGTTGTTTCAGGCATTTGCTTGACAGGTCGGAGAAATGAAATCCATCTCTGAGAAAACCACATCTAATAACTCTGTGACTATATTAATACTATAGTCCTTAACTGTGCACACAAATACAAAATTGATTTATTGTTAAAACAGATGGTAGAAGTTCTTAAGTTATTTACAAACCACTGTAACCATTTCTTATATTAAAATTTAAATGACCACAGTGTAGATTGAGTATTAATTTTATGTTTGAAAATAGAAAACATGCTTTTGAACTGATTCCAATTTTTTCTTTTACTCGTTGATTTATTTGGGGGATAGCTTTATGCAAATGAGAAAGCAGATACAAATGGTACGCCCTGTTCCTAAGGAGACTATCAGCAACTGATAGTGGAGGAAAAAATAATTTTTATAAACTGTTCCATGCTTACTTTTTCTTCTTTCCTCATTTGAAAAACAATGCAGACTGACAAGATCTCATCTATTTAATGTATTCAGTCTGGGTTGTATTTAAACAAGCCTTATGTATGTGACGTAGCATATATTTTGTCTTGCATTGTAATTTTAGAGCTGTGTTCTAATTGTCTTCTATTATTAAATAATGTGATATGTAATAAAATTCACTTTGAATAATCCTAATCCTAATGATTAAGACATTTTCTACATTAGTAAATGCAGTCTAATTTATTTCCTACATAACTACTGTAAGAAATTGGTTAAAAGCTTATGTAATCACATTATCCTTTGACACTTGTTAAAAATATACCATAGTTCCATTCCCTTAGAGGTATTACTCACTTTCTGGGACTTGAATATTTAAATGTTGCGGTGGTTATGCCATTGCTCTAGGAATTTGGAAAAATATTTTTTCAGAGAGTTCAAAAAAGAAGTCTGAAAAAAATTCTGATTTCAACTCTAAAATGAGATATGTTTTCTACTCCTAAAAATGTACTAGTCTTTGATATATTGTATACTCAATAATTGACTTATTTTTTTCCATCTTTAATGTGTTACTTATGCCAAGAGATTTTTTTTTCATGGGTACTCTAAAATTCCTAACGTGTTAAGAACAATATGCATTTCATACATCTTCTCTTAAATCAGGTGTTTACTGGCTGGATAAAATTCAAAAGAGAAAAGATTTTTTACTTTATTGCTGGATGATAAGTAGTACTTGAACTGCTTGTATATTCCCCTAACTGCTAGCTAAACTTGTTCTCAGGTTAATTTCATCATTCCCCTCTTTCTTTCGCCATCCATCTTGATTATGTGTTATTAATCTCAGTGCTTTCTTTCTAGTCCCAATTCTCTCACCCTGAAACAATTAGAATAAAAATGACACTTGCAGTAGTAGAGGATGGGAACAATTAATTTTTCTGCATTATTTAATGGAGATGTTGGCTGCCACTGCTACACCAGTCCCCTACCCATCCTTCACTACAGTATAGGCGAGAACATCCCGAGAGAATTCTAGACAAGCAGAATGAATAATAGAGTAGGTAGTAGGTGCTTGTACATACCTCTTAAAAACCTCAACTAATCATGCCTTTTAAGGAGCATTATTTGATCCTTAACGTTGTTTTCTTTGTTTTTAATTTTAATGTGTTACCTCTTTAAATGACAGTGCCACAGGGTGGATTATCTCATAGCTACTCCTTTCTCTTTTTTACCTGGCTTTCTCAACTCCAGTCCTTCTAGTACCATTCAGTAGCTTTGAAAATTTTAGTGATCATCACGTGTCTTGAAGTCTAAAAGGTCAAGTCTTCAATATGCATGAGTAGACTAGAAGAGTAGCCAAGAAGTTGTAACAGTAGTTGCCAAATGGTGGGGAAGGAGGGGTTGCTGGGACAGGGATAGGAGAAAGGCTTACTTTTCACAATATAAACTGTTGAATTTTCTATCATGTCTGTGTACTGCCTATTAAAAAATTATATTAAAAATAAAAAGGACTAGGTGAGAGAGGGAGCCAGGGAACAAACCTGGTCCTATCTGTTTTCACAGCTTATTTCCTTTTTACTGCACTATTCTTCCAGCGTGTTTACCTTAGCTATATGAGCTTGGATAAATAACTTATTTATTTTAGGCCCTAGTTGTATTAGCTGAAAAGAAAGGATGGATCTGTTGATTTCTAAAATTATGTTAGGGCCGGCCCTGTGGCTTGGTGGTTAAGTGCGCGCGCTGCGATGCTGGTGGCCCGGGTTCGGATCCCGGGTGTGCATCGAGGCACCACTTCTCCGTTCATCCGGAGGCCGAGTCCCGCATACAGCAACTAGAAGGATGTGCAGCTACGACATACAACTATCCACTGGGGCTTTGGGGGGAAAAATAAAATAAATAAAATCTTTAAAAAAAAAAAAATAAAATAAAAAATAAAAAAAAATAAATAAATAAAATTATGTTAAAAGATCAGTATGTGATTGAAATAAATATTATATGCTAAAAAATTAACCTTATAGTTAATCCTACCAAAACATAGGAAAATAGCAATAATAGGTTAGATCATTAAATTTTAAAAGCAAATAAATTATACCTGGTTTTTAAAAATATCACCTAAAATCGGACTTTACCTAAGCAATTCAGCTATTTCCTACTCCTCTCAATGTGTTGAACTCATTTTTGTTCCCATGCTTTTTCTTTATCCGTATTTATTGTATTTGTTAGCTCTGTTTGGTTGTAAGTAACAGAAGTCCAACTCAATTCAGCATAAGCAAAAAAGAGATGCTTATTTGGTTCGTATAACCAAACCATGGAAGCGTAGGGAGAGAGCTGGCCTCATGGTTGACTGGATCCAGGGATTTATGTATCTTTAGGACTCTTCATTTCTCTCCCAAGTCTGAGTTGCTCTCTATGGCTTCACCCCATGGCAGATCATTTGATTACTGAGGGCTCTCAGGCTTCATATTTACAGGTTTTCTTATAAACTGTGAATTAGCTCTTGAGGCTTGGTAGAAAAAGTTAAGGTTTTTTTTGAGGTGATGAGGGAGGCAAGAATATCTCCTAGATGGTGTGGTATGCTTTCTATCATATCACATCAGGGGGCATAGAATGTCTGGTTATTTTTATGATGTTGTAATTGATCAGTGGTTCTATCCTTCTCCAAAAGGAACCAGGACCCCTTGAAGAAAAGGCTGCTTCTAGTGTTACAACAGGAGATATACAAAATGAGCCTGGAGCATCTTGTAGTGCCTTAAAGTAAGGAAGTGCTCAAAAAAAAAAAACAAAAAGATAGGGGCGTGTCAAATGGACATAGAAAGAAACCTAAAATACCTCCCAGTTGTCAGAACTGGGACAATCTGAGAAACAAAGCACAGAACATAGTATTGGTACCCAAAGTATAAAGTACATATCCATGAGTTGATGCTAATATAAATAAGTGATTGAATAAATAAATAAATGGGAAAGAAGAAACAAATCTCCCATACAGGAAATTCCGAATAATTTATGTAGATATTCCTCCTCTAGGAGAGGGAACTTAACTGTCTGCACCCTGGGGCCTCAAGTGTGGGCTGCGCTTAGTAACTTGCTTCCAAAGAGTAGAGTACAGAAAGAGAAGGAAAGTAACTTTACACTGAAAAAGCAAACACAACCTTGACCAGGTGATCAGTATTAATATTATTAGTGATAATAATCATGTTGATAGCATGCACCTTTGATATGATGTGATGAGAGTGGCATATACCTCTGTGTTCCCCTGTCAAAAAAAACATAACCCCAGTCTAACCATGAGAAAAACATCAGACAAACCCAAATCAAGAGACAGTCTATAAAATACCTGACCAGTATGACCAATATTCCTCAAAACTATCAAGGTCATCAAAAACAAAGCTTGAGAAACTGTCATGGACTAGAGAAGGCTAAGGAGACGTGACAACTAAATGTAATATATCCTGGATGGGATCTTGGAACTGAAAAAGGACGTTAGGGAAAAGCTAGTGAAATCCGAGTAAGTGTGGAGTCTAGTTATAATAATGTATCGATGTTGGTTCCTTAGTTGTAAAATGTACCATAATAATGTAAAATGTTATCAACGGGGGAAACTGGGTGAGGGATATGTGGAAACTGTACTATTTTCAACTTTTATGTAAGTCTAAAACTATTCTGAAATTAAAAGTTTATTTAAAGAGGAAGATTGGCACGGATGTTAGCCCAGGGCCAGTCTTCCTCAGCAAAAAGAGGAGGATTGACATGGATGTTAGCTCAGAGCTGATCTTCCTCACACACACACACACACACACACACACACAAAAAGTTTATTTAAAAAATTAGT